TTCAAGATGTTATGATCCAAAAATTACTATATATAGGTAGAGAGAGGGCTACCCTCTCTCCACACATCTCTCCCTTATCTCTCTCTGATCAGTCCCTCTCTCTCGGTTCCATCACTATGTCGCTGATCGTCACCGTGTTCCGTCCACCGATACTCCGTACAACCACCTAGCTCATTCCTTCGACTACCTCCAGCACCAAATGACCCCCTTCTTCTCATCTCCTTTGTCGCACCCAAAAGTCGTTGGAAACCCACTGCCGACGAGGATTCCGACAAAGATTTCGGCGACTGAAAAGTTTTTCGGGCAGTTCCCGACGAACATTTTTATGTTTTTAGAATTGCTTTGACCCGATCTACAACCCACTTGAAACATTTTGTTAAACAAAGTGTTGTTCGTGTCATTTCCAATCATAAATCCGATTCCTGATCTAGTTAAAGCACACAACGAAAAAGAGTGTTATGACCCCTCTTTTAAACTTTTTAAATGTTTTTGGGAGAGAATACTTGCAAAACATTTGTTATATATTTTTATATAAACTTTAAAATAATTGATTATCGTTTATATAATTACAAAAAATTTATTTATCCGTTTGTTAAACAAATAGTTATTTAAAATGATAGACACCTATTTTGAGACTCTATATATATATATATATATATATATATATATATATATATATATATATATATATATATGCTTAGGTTATTGTATTCCCATTAATTATTGTGTGGAAGTAGGGATGAATGTAAACCAGTGGTTTTAGTTATTTTAACTAATGATTTACCTATCTTTAAATTAGGAGACACATGTTTAAATTAGGAAACACATATTTAATTAATGAAAATTTCATATTTTAAGGGATATTGATTCTTTTAATTTTGAATTCTGATTTTTTTTAAATTAATTCATTTTTAATTCTACATAATTTTTAATTTTACTTGTGTTATTCTTTGGAATGCAATTCTGATTGAATGATATTCTATGAAAATGTCAAAATATATTCTGCTATAGTACATATTTTGATTAAAGTAACTTCTTGTAGAAAAACAATATTCTTGAACCTTCAGTTGAAATATAACATTATCCTTATATATTCAAACATTGTAATGCAAATATAGATTCATACATATTTGTACAGAATAATAGTCTAAATAACATTCTTCCATATATAATTATTGAAAAAATAGATTTGATTACTAAAATTAATTAATAGATGACATTAAAATTTTACCTTATTTAATTAATTCTTAAACTATCTTACCTAAATTAAACTGTTTAATGAAATATTTACTTAATTACTAAAATTAATTAATAGAAAACATTAAAAATTTACCTTATTTAGATTTTAAAATGATTGGCTTACAGTGATTTCTACATCCACATAATAATTAGTTAGAATATTTGAACCTAGTTATATATATATATATATATATATATATATATATATATATATATAGTATTTTTGGTTTTACATTAGTTAAATGTTGGATTTACTTGATTTACAGCCGTTATGCTGCCAAATTGTTGTTAGAAACTTTAGATGGTTATTACGCACAATCGAACTTTCTGTCTAGTGATTTTATTGTTTAATATTTTAGACGCACACACATAGACACTTTTAGAATTATGTAAATTCGGGGAATTTACACGATACTTATTCAACAACTAAGGGTAAATCTTTAGCAAAGATCTCTGACCTATAACCGTTAATCATAAGCGAGCGAGGAATGTTATGTATAGATCTATATGGGTTGACACCCCACATGTGGTTGCAAGCTACAACATTGAGGGACGAGTCACAACGGGTGATAACTTTCCACCAGTTACGACATCGATGAAGCGTCATGCTAACTTTTTACGGCATACCATGATAGCGTGGGGCACACAACATTGGTGCCAAAAAATGACAGGAACACATCATATAGCTCGGTTATAAGGTCTCATTATAACATGATTGCACTCTATAAGTACTCAAAATAAGTTGAAATAGGCCTTATAATGAGCTATTACAGACTTGTGCAGTTTACAAGTACTATTACCCATAAGTTAGGTCTACACTTATACACAATGATTACACACTTGTACGGTTTACAAGTACAATTATACATAAGTCAGGTAAGAACTTATACACAGTGAACACATACTTGTTAGGTTTATAAGTATCAGTAAGTTAGGTAAACACTTACACATAATGAACATATACTTGTAGGGTTTACAAGTATCTTTTTCTTTTTATAAGTCAGTTAAGCACTTATATACCTCAGAAACCTACTTTTTGGTTATAAAGGTACTTTGCACCAAAACTTGTGAGCTCACCAACTTTATGTTGACATATTTTCAAAACGCATGTAGTTTCAAAAACATAAGAAGATAAACTGTTACACATACACACTCACAAAGGAACACTCATGAGAGCTTTTGTTATCAATCACAATCATATACTTTATGTATTTAATGCCTATTTGTTAACGCATGTATCGTTTTTTTGATGTAATGATGAATACAATGTAATTTATATTCACTAGTAATAGAAATTTTTTAGTATATGTTTGAAGTGTGAAAATATTTTTCTTTCCTTTTTTTAGTATATATATATTACATGTTTTTTTCACATAAATAACATAACATTATATAGTCAATATATTTAAGGATGCATGCATGTTGTGTTTGTGTATGAGAGAGAGAGGGAGAGAGAGAGAGAGAGAAAGAAAGAAAGAAGAATTATCGACAAAACAAACTTTATGAGTACAAGACAAATTAAGACAAAGAGTTAAAGTACAGTGTTAAAATTCAGTGGATGCCAAAGTATAATGCTTTATAAGAAAATAATTTAAAGTACAATGCACTTAAACAACAAACTAACAATGGTAATGTGTGCAAAAATTGTTATTTTTGCATCAAATTTTAATATTGAATGGTAATATGTGGAAAAAATTATGCATAATGATGTTTTGTGTACAAAGAAAAAAGTTTATTAACGAGTGCTACTATATGTACCCCCTCACTCACATAAATTGCCAAATCATGGGGTATACATTATTTATTCCAGTCACAAGGGAGGTACGCAAAATAGTTTGGGGTACGTATAGAATTACCCTTATTAACCTAGTAATGTTGTGTTTGTTGCGCCACATATAGTTAATAGATTAGCTTATTTTTCGAGATTTTTTAAATTGACATGTTTGGCAAGCCAAAAAGTAACTTTTAAACTAGTTTTTTAAAAAGTTGCTTAGACTAGCTTTTCATGAGCTTTTTAAAAATCTTTCAAGTATATCCTTTAATTAATTATAGAAAACATATTCTTCTAAATATCTTTTATGTTATTTTATATATTTCAGCTAGCTTTTCAACTAGTTCGCCAAACATAGCTTAGGTTGTGTTTGGTGCGCTACAACAAGCTAAAAAGCTAGCTTATTTTTTGAGCTTTTTTAAGTTGTCATGTTTGGCAAGCCAAAAAGTAGCTTATAAGCTAGCTTTCTAAAAAGCTACTTAGACTAGCTTTTTTAAAAAAAAAGTTAAATATACCCTTTAATTAATTATAAAAACACATTCTTTTAAATGTCATTTTATGTCATTTCATATTTTTTATCTAGCTTTTTAGCTAGTTTTATCAAATGTTATTTTTTTTATTAACCAGATTTCCAGCTATCAACTAGCTTTTTATTTAACAATTAGCTTTTCAACTAGTATGCCAAACATAGACGTATGAGTTGAAAAGCTAGTTGATAGCTGAAAAGTTAATTGTTGTATGAAAAGATAGCTGCTAGCTGGAAATTTACCTGATAAAAAATTAATGTTTGGTAAAACTAACTGAAATATATAATGATATCAAAAAACATTTAAAGAAGTATGTTTTTTATAAACTATGAAGGGACACATTTGGAAAGGGAGGTGATATATCCCTAGATGTTTTTGATACATCCACAAAAATTTTAAATAAATTGAAAATTTTACCCCTACCTACTTATCTCCCTTCCCCCCTCCTCTTTGATCGGTCATTCCTTCAACCAATAAAAGGTAACCGATTTCATGTGTATTTTCATTTGTCACTTTAGAGAGCTCTTAGAGGGTGTTTGGATAAATTAGTTTATAGCTTATTAGCTTATTACGATGGGAATAAGTTGTTTTTGCAAAAGTGTTTGTGGTGGGAATAAACAATAAGCAATAAACAAGGGGGAGATGCTTATTAAAATCAGCTTATTTAGCTTATTCCTACCACAATAAGCTGCTTTTTAAGGATTTCTATCCAAACACTTAAACTTAGCTTGTTGTAGTGGGAATCAACTATAAAAAAAATGAAGATCCATTTTGCCACATGTGAATCCCTCATGAGTTTTGAAACTTGTCATTTTGTAATATTTTTGAAATAAATAATATCCACTAGATTTTTTTAATTTGTAAAATTAGGGTCACATAATACATATACTTATATATGTAGTATTAAATGTAATAATAAAATTGCAATTAATATGTTTTTCATTCCTTATTTCAAAAGTTTATTTTGAAAAATATTTATTATTTATAATTTGTTATACAATCTTTTTTAATCAACGCGTATATTATACGGGTCTCACACCTAGTAAGCAATAAGCACCCTCTTTTTTTTCGTATCCAAACACCCCCTTAATAACAAGATACTAACAAAACTGGCAAAGCCCACTTCAAGAAACACACAGACTTCACATTCCAGCAAGAAAGTCAAAGAAGCCAGCAAAACTCTAGCGAGAAAATCATTGTGTGTGCCAAAATGAAAGTGGGTTCTCCCGAACGAGCATTGATCAAAGGGATCCTTCGTCCTTCAAAATTTTACATAGAGAAAGAAATTGTCAGAAAGCTTTGTGATTGTGCTTTGTAATTGTGCATTTTTGCTTAATTGCACCCATCTGCAACTGCTTTCGATATGTGACATGTAATGGTGTTATTTTGCATATGAAAATAGCCTTGAAACAGAAAATAGCTTTGATATGGTCACTGAAACTTAGTTGAGCCCACCACCAGATATGGCGATTAAGATAGAGGATGAGAGTTGCAGATCTAACCACCAAACTCTAGCAATTGTTCATGGTATATGGTAATTAGAGGCTGTGAATGTGTTCTTCTGGTAAACATCGCTTTCTTCATAGAACTTGTTTTTCCTTCGGCAACTTTATGGTTCTTGGTTAGAGTGTTTTCGTCTACTTAATGTGTATTCTTGATGGTACAAGGGTTTTGACAATGATGTTGTAGTGATTAGCGACAAGAGGGGTAAAAAGAGGATGGGTAAATCGATGAGTTGGACTAAGAAATGGAAACGTAAGTTAGAGTTTTGTTGGTTCTTTTGGTGGGGTGAGAGAAACTAAAGACCAATCAAAGAGAAGGGGGTAGGGGCAAAATTGTCAATATACTTAAAAATTATATGGATATATCAAAAACATCGGTGGATATATAACTCTTATTTGCAAAATTTTCGAAAACTCCAGAAAAACTAGTAGAAAAAGATATTTTTTAAAGACATCTTATAAACTACATTATAAAACGTGAAAAAATAAGTTAGGTGTAACGTTTCAAATAAATCCAATTTTTTTTCTTGATTGGACGTTTAAACCAGCCAAAAAATATCAAATCAGATCAAATATCTTTATTAACAGTAATAATAGTATTTTTACATTTATTAGATTTAATTGTAATATATACAAAATTAAATTAAATCATATTTTGTTTTTGTTGCATAGAGAAAAATTTCTTACCCTCCTCCTACTCCTACAAACAGAAAACCAAAGAGAGGAAAATGGAGACTGGAGACGAAGTTAAAGTATTAGGTTTGGATCTATCGACTGTGAAACGTGCAGGCATCGCAGCCTACAATCGCACTTCTACAGCCGTCACAAAAGTTGATCAGGTGGTTAGAGTGGATGGTATTTAGAAGCTGCATCAATACTTGCTAGATGGTGAAACCAGAGCACAGATCGGCCTTTTCGCCACCATACTTGCTAAGAACTCTGCCAAATATGTTGTCTATGATGGCTTCAAACATATTCCTTGCTTTCCTCTTTCTTCTCTCTCTCTCTCTCTCTCTATATATATATATATATATATATATATATATATATATATATATATATATATATATATGTTGGATTAATGTCTAAGTCAGTAACCATATTTGGTATATACTTGACCCGAGTGTGCATGGTCCTTTTGGGTTGCCTTCACCAAAGCAACTTGACAAGGTAATTTGATATGAGAGAGGAGATATTATGATTTATTAATATATTATAAGAATAATATATTAAAGGAGAAATCATATTTATTTGATTAGTATTAGTCATAAATTAATTAGGAATTAATTTGGTAACTAAAAGAGACAAATTAAATAAAGGGGTATAAACTGTCAATTGTGTGATAGTTGAGTTTTGGGCTAGGAAACCTAATGGACTAAGGGGGAACGAAATTATGATGAAGGATCATCATATTTTCGTCCAAGGCCTCATTCCATAAGGTTTCTTGGGCTGCTTGGTGGCTAAGCCGTCCATTAGGGTTTTGACTGAAACCCTAGCACCTTATAGTATAAATACATACCCTATGCTTCAATTTAAGGCCACTTGATTCCAAGGGAACCCTAGGGCCGAAATTAGCATCATTCCCTTCTCTCTCTTAGTTGCCTTCTTGCTTCAAGGTGTTTGTGAGCCATTAGAGGCACTACAATTGTGGTGCTTGCTTTCAAGAGTTCTAGAGAGTTCAAGAGATCAAGGAAACTAGTTGTTATTGCTATATAACAACAAAGGTATGTTTTTCTACACTTCTATGTAAATTTCGAAAATTATAGAAGCATGCTAGGGTTTATTTTGTGTTCATAAATTTGTATGTCTTATAGTGAAAACATAGATCCAAACTAGGGTTGCATGCACACACAGGATTGTTTGTATAAAACCTAACAGTGGTATCAGAGCCATTGGTTTTTTGTTTTCAATTGGATTTGATGCATATTATGAACTTGACAAATTAGGGTTTATGGCAAGTAAACCCTAAGGCTTGGTGATTTTCGCAAATTAGGGTTGCCAAACCCTAGTTGGCGGTTTTTGATAGGGTTCTTGAAACCTTTTTGCCTAGCCTCCAAATTTCGAAATTAGGGTTATGAAACCCTAGGGATTTCGAAAATCCCTTGTCCCCAAGATAAGATCCCAAGATTTTAGGGATATGGATAATACTATCTTTGTGATTATCAATTTAATTGTTTAAACTAGATAATTGAAGATCTTGTATTATCCTTTCCATAAATTTAAAAATAAAAAGGATTAAATAAATTAATAGTTTAATTTTATGATAATCCCTAAAGATTTAATATTTCAAATTAATTGTTTGATTTTGATAATTATTAAATCAAAGATTTTTGGTGTTTAAAATTTTAAATTAAATAGCCTTAATTCCGAAAATTTTAAATACACATTAAGATACTAGTATTTTTGAAATGTTTTAAAATACACCCTTATACAATTATGATATTATAAGATTAATTATTATATATGTATAAGAATAAGCTAGTCTTATCGCTAGTAGGCCTCATTCACGAAGCCGGTCTATAAGGTGGGTATAAGGTTGCTGCCTATAAAATGGCGCTTAATGGATGTACACTCACATCTACCGCTTGCTTGACTGGTGGAGGGTCGTTAGCCGAACGGATAGGATAGGGCACTTAATTCCTCATTAAAAGTATAATGGAAATATTAAAGTAACTACATTGTTTTACAAATTCCCACTCTTAGTTACTTTAGGGTAAAATGTGAAAATGATGCTAATCCATGGAATTACACTTCGTACCCTTGTCAAACGTTGATGGAGCGCGTGTGGTTAACCGGCACATCAATTTGGGGATGACATTGGTAGCGAAGGGTGACTCGATGTTTGTCATAGATCAATGGAGCGTGTGTGGTTCACCGGCACATTGATTAGGTGATAAAGACATTGAGTGCACCGCGTTGATTCGCATGGTTATTCACAAATTTGTTTGCGATCCTCGGCATCCCAGTCGCAAATTTGAAATGCATATCGAGATTTAAACATGCCATTGAAAAGTTCAATGAATCTCAAAGATCTAGGAGTTTTCAATACATTTAAAACCTAAATTGCTTTTTCGTTTTTCATGGTGAGAATTAGTGAATCGTCATTCACTTACCTTCAAATTATTTACTTTTAGAGTACGGCATCCCTTTCTAAGTTGTAAATAATGTTGTTGGATCCTAGCCCTAATTACTCATTTGGGTGTTTAATTAGGGATTCATTTCTAATCAAACTTTGTTCCTTTTCAGATGTCAACAAACAACAACAACAAACGCTTCTGGGTCATTCTCGTTGATGAACTTGTGTCAGAAAGTGACATTTGATGGTTCAAACTTCACCGAGTGGATGAGGTATATCCGCATGATCACACGCTACGAGGACAAAGAATATGTCCTCGATGAAAAGCTTGAGAAGATCATCCCAGATGTTGCTACTCCTGAGGAATTGGCCGCCTTTGAGGCCCACGAGCGTGATGCCACGAAAGTTCACTGCATCATGCTGGCCACCATGAACCCGAACTCCAAAAGTCCTATGAGGACATGTATCCATATGAAATGCATCAGGATTTGCTGGAAAGGTATCACCAGAGCGCGAGGCAAGAGCGCTATGAGATCATTACTAACATGATCACCGCTAAGATGGGGAGTGGAGAATCCCTAACCTCTCATTTGCAGAAAATGCAGAGGTATGTTGATCGTCTTCTCAAACTTAATGTTAAGTTTGATGAGGATTTGGCTATCGACATAATCCTCCACTCCTTGCCCTCCTGCTACAATCAGTTTAGGATGACCTACCATATGAATAAAGAGGAGGTCTCCTTGAGCAAGCTCCAAGGACTCTTGAGGACTGCTGAGAGCAACCTCAAAGACAAATCCGTTGCACCGTCCCCTGCTGTGGCCGCTCCTGTGATGGCGATAGGTCAAGGAAAGGGTAAAAAGAGGAAGGCTCCATGTAAGAGCCACCATAAGGGGAAACCCCGTGATGGTTCGTCCTCAAGTGGGACCAAAGTAGGCCCCGCTAGACCCTCTTCCGATCCTAAAGAAGCAGAGTGCTTCTATTGCCACCAAAAGGGCCACTGGAAGCGAAGCTGCCCACAATATCTGCAGGACATAAAAGATGGGAAGATCAAGCCCACATTTGCAGGTATGTATTCTATTAAATCTAATAACTCATCATTTGCTACTTCATGGGTTCTTGATACAGGATGTGGTTACCACATTTGTTCTGATTTGCAGGGCCTAAAAAGAAGTAGGGAAATGGAGCATGGGAAGATGAACCTGATTATGGGAAACAGAAGATCATCGCCTGTGACCAAAGTCGGTGTTTATTCTTTAGTGTTGAGAAATGGGTTAGGAATAGATTTAGAGAATTGCTGTTATTCGCCAGATATGGCAAGAAACATTATTTCTTTTCACGGGTTGTTTAGACAAGGTTTCAGATATTCTTTTGATAATAGTAATGGTTCTATTAATGTTTATTTGAATGGTGTCTTTTATTTCAATGCATTACCTTGTAATGGGATTTATGAATCTGTGATGATTGTTGATAATTTCGGAAATAATGTTTTGAATATTGATTCGTCTACTAGTCTAGACAAAGCATGCTTGTGGCACTGTCGCCTTGGCCATGTCAACAAGAAACGCATAGCCCAACTCCAAAAGGATGGAGTGTTGGAGTCATTCGACCTTAGGGACGATGATACGTGTGAATCTTGTTTACTTGGGAAGATGACCAAGTCACCCTTTACTGGCACTTGTGAAAGGGGTGAGGGTTTATTGGATCTCATACACACTGATGTGTGTGGGCCCTTTAGATCCACCACAAGGGATGCTTGCCGCTTCTACGTGACTTTTACAGATGATTATAGCAGATATGGATATATCTACTTGATCAAGCAAAAGTCGGAAACCTTTGAAAAGTTCAAAGAGTTTAAGAGTGAAGTGGAGAATCAGCTGGGCAGGAAAATCAAGATGCTTCGGTCAGACCGAGGAGGAGAGTACCTAAGTCTTGAGTTTCACGACTATCTAAAAGAATGTGGAATCGTTTCGCAATTGACGCCTCCAAGAACGCCACAATTGAACGGTGTGGCTGAGAGACGTAATCGGACCTTGTTGGACATGGTTCGTTCTATGATGAGTCGGACTTCGTTACCAATAGCTTTCTGGGGGTATGCCTTAGAGACTGCCGCCCGTATACTTAACTTAGTTCCCACTAAGAAGGTTTCCAAGACTCCTCACGAGATGTGGACAGGGAAGGCTCCCTCGTTGGCACATATTAAGGTTTGGGGTTGTGAGGCTTTCGTAAGACGAGAGACTCACGACAAACTTGAACCTCGTAGTGAGAAGTGTTATTTCATCGGCTATCCACAGAAGTCTTTTGGCTACCTTTTCTATAGACCGAGTGACAATGTTGTCTTCGTTGCTAGAAGAGGAGTTTTCCGAGAAAAGGAATTGATAGGCCAAGAAGACAGTGGGAGGCAAATTGAACTTGAAGAAATTCAAGATCAAAGCGATGAAGGAACCTCTGACACTGGCACTCAACTTGAGGAGGAAACTCCTGTTGAACCTGTTGACGTGTCCTTACCTCTTCGACGTTCCTCTAGGGCTAGTGTTCCACCCCAGTTTTATGGTTTTCATATTACTACTGAAGGGGATACGTTTATTAGTGATAGTACACTAGTAAATTTGGATGAACCTAGCAACTATAAGGAAGCCATGGCAGGCCCAGAGTCTGCAAAATGGAAAGAGGCTATGGACAGCGAGATTCAGTCCATGTACGACAACCAAGTTTGGAATTTGGTTGATAATGTACCAGGTCGTAAGACAGTCGGGTGCAAGTGGATCTTCAAGAAGAAGACGGACATGG